CGATTAGGAACTGTTGAAACAAGAGAGAATCTGAGAGAGAGAGAAGAAGAAGAAACACACACACACACACACATGCTTTAAAACATGAATTGGAGCGTGGTGGAGCTCAGGGAGCCATTGGATAGCATGAGAGTGGGCAGCACAGAGGGGCATTGTAGGACTCTCAGCTGCACAGTGGCACTGGTTCAAACACACACACACACACACACACACACACACACACACATTCATACTCTGCCGTACAGACACACAATAAACACACAGAATTACAAATTATGTTTGGAGAGATTTTGTGGACGAGCAGTGAGACACAAATCGTACAAGTGTTAATCAAACACACACACACACACACACACACACACACACACACACACACACACACACACACACACACAACCACTCACATATAATTATGAATTGTAAAAGTATTAATTATGCTGATGCACATTCAGATAAGTGATCGCAGCAATAACTGTTCAGACCTGTGACACTGTGAACAGAATATACTGTTTAAATGTAGAATAATGTCTAATAAACACGTCCTGGTGCAGACTTTACCTCCTTGTGGTTGCATGTGTGAAGTGAATGAAACTGATTCTGTGCTTAGGAACAGGAAGTGAAGATTTTTTCGTCGATTGAAAACCACCTCCATAAACCTGAGGGTTTGTCTTTGTTTCTCATCTACTGAAGCAGGTAGAAACATGAAACAAAAACCATGTGAGAGCTTAAAACTCTGACTTTTATTGTAAGTCTCTGCCTTTGCCTTGGACATTGTATATGTCTGGAAAAACAAGCACATTTCTCAACATCTCTTAGTTCAGTTCTTCTTTTTTGTTTTAACATTTATATATTTTTTTCAAATGTTGATGGACATTAAAGTAAAACCAGTGATTTACAATAAAAAGCCAAAGGTTTAAGGTCTCAAATGGTTTTTATTCCATGTCTCTGTCTGCTTCAGAGGCTGAGAAATAAAGGTTCATCATCAGGTGAATCTCTACCTGTCCGGTCTTCGTGGGTTAGGTTAAGTTGTGTCGGGATGTTGGGAACCTCTTTGTTTAAGTCATTTGGGCACAGAAATTACCAAGTCATATTATTACCAAGTCACACGGTGCTTTGAATGGAGTCGCCGTCCACCTTGTTTCCATACAGTCAAATGGAGCTCAGAACTCCTGCGGCGCTTGAAGTAAACAGATAAACAAATAAAAAAATAAACCCCAGGCTGACTCAGGCCTAAGACCAATGTTACCGTGGTAACAATCAATGACACTTGCGCCGAGCAACAACAAAAAAACATGGAAAACACAGCTCAGAATTTGTGGTTTGCTAACATTACTATCACTGTTTTGTGTTTTCCGTCTGTCCCATTCTTGTGAACACGATATCTCGAGAACTCCTCGAGGAAATCCCTTCAAAATATGGCACAAATATACACTTGCACTTTAAGATGACCTGATTGGATCTTGGTGGCTAAATGTCAAAAGTCAAGATCACAGTGACTTCACAAAACGTGAGACAGTCAAGAGATAAACTGCTTTGTGTGACGGATGAATTCAGACGTCGTCGATCTGAAGTCTGTTTGTTGACTGTTTGTTCTTTCTAAAGTCTGTCTTTATTAGACCAGCGTTTTTCTCCATGCAGCTTGGAAGTAGTTGAAGTTTGTGTCAGAACATTTTACATTTTATTTATTTATTTTCAAACATGTTTTATTGAGCCAAAAAAAATCTTACGTACAGTGAATTGTTGTACCAGCGCTCTAATAAAAACCAGTGGAATAATAAATGATTGTGAGAAATAAATCAATAAAACCCACAATCACTAATTGTGAACATGAAAGTAAAATCTATCAACATAAAACTCTCACATAAAGACCTCTCTCCTCCCACCACATTAATTCAGTGGAGGTTAATGGGGGCTAAGTACATTTATGAGCTGTTGAGTGACCGATTCAACACCAGCGTTTCTCTCTAGAACTGGATCCATTTAGAATGATTAAACTTTCATTTCAACACATCTAATAAAATTCTGCCTTTTAGAATAAAAACCCTCATATTTGGTTCCACAGGAGTCAGACTGAAGTACAAATGGAAAAACGTATTAAAGCGAGCGACTGCTTTTATCTGCACTTCATCTTTCTTTTAATAACCAGAGGGAAGTGATTGTATGTGACACAGCTGGGGAACATCTGTTTGTTTTCAGTGCGGATCAGCTGATTGGCTGCTGTCATGTGGTGACCTGTGGTTTTCATCACCGCACACAGTTGCTGCATGTCAACGGTTTTATTTCTAAACATTTACGATCAAACCAAAAGGGATTTTTACCAAAATATTTTCCTTTGAAAGAAATAATCTGCCATAAAATGTGTGGAGCTGAAAACCATGAATTCAGTAATTGTTTAGTTGAATTTGTAAAAGATTGATCTTCTGCTATTTTGATAATCAGTTAAGTCAATTTTGAATTAAATAAACCCAATAAAAGAGCTGCTTCCAACTTCTTAAATATAAGGATTTGTTGCTTTTCTCTGTTTTATATCATTGTAAACTTAATATTTTAGTGTTGAAGGTTTTCTGTTGTTTGGACTCGTGATTTTTTTTCCCTGATATTTTATAGATCACAGACGGAATCAATTAATTGAGAAAACAATCAGCAGATAAATTAATATAGACAATAATCATTCGGTGCAGCCATAAAATTGTGCACTACATTCAGCCAAATGTGCCGCAGTGCAGATCTTGGTAAACTGTTGGAGATGTCTCGCAGTTGTCCGACTTGTTCACTGCAAATACGACATTTAAAAATCATTTTCGTGCGAGTGTCTCAGGCTTCATTTAAAGTGTGTGATGTTTCATTGTAATTTTATTTCAGACTAAAGACAAAAGAGGCTGTTTTGGCAGGAAAATGAGCAAATGATCCTGATTCTAATTCAGCATAAAAAGCACCATTACCAGATTCAAATATAAGGTTGACTATGAGGTTTTATGCCGTTTTTATTTCCCACATTTTATTCCAAAATGTCCGCCGCAGCGAGGAGCAGACGTCACGATGACTGTGGTTGAATACTGGCTCTGGTTGTGTCTTTTGTTTCCTCTGAACTCAGCAGAAACAGGTTTGACTTCATCTGTGTTGAACGTTTTGCCAGTAAAATAAAATGTAAAGTGTGTTTCTGTGACACTTTCACCACTTCCTTCACGGGCGGTGACGTCGAGCTGTTTGGAAAATCGAGTGAAGCTTGATTCACTTCCACTGCACAAAATGAAAATAAATATGTTCCTGTGTAAATTGACTCTAATCAGATAACAACATATCAGATGGGGATTCTTTTTGTTGTTGTCAGGGACTCGACTTTAGTTTGACTCTTTGACATTAGAAACTTTTAATGAATAAAAGCCCTCAGGGAGGGAATAATCAGTCAAGATCACATTATGTATAAAAGATCAGCCGGAGTGATATTAATTATCTTTTCGGCTTCATTAGATAGAAAAAAAAATCATCTCTGCTTCTCACTGAGTCGTATGAACAGAAAGTTCCTGCTGATGGAAGAAGAGACACTTCACAGACGAAGCTGAAACAAACGTCTTTTATCTTGGTCCTCTTTGCTCTGGCAGGTTTCCTGGAACATTTCTGATCCTCACAATGATAAAACACACACACACACACACACACACACACACACACACACACACACACACACACACACACACACACACACACACACACACACACA